AGCAAACAGCCACCAAAAAAGAGCAGGAGTGGCAATACTAATCTCAGATAAAATAGACTTTAAAACAAAATCCACCATAAAAGACAAAGAAGGGCACTACATCATGATTAAAGGGATGATCCAGCATGAAGACATAACCATAATAAATATCTACACACCCAATGACAGGGATCCAAAATACATAAAACAAACTTTAATGGCACCGAAAAGAGAAATTGACAGTTCCAGTATAATAGTAGGGGACTTCAACACACCACTCTCGGTAAAGGACAGAACGTCTCGAAAGAAACTCAGCAAAGATACAGAAGATCTAAAGGCCACCATCAGCCAACTTGAACTCATAGACATATATAGAACACTCCACCCAACAGCCGCAAAGTACACATTCTTTTCCAACTCAGTTGGCATAACATAGTTTATAAAGAAAATGTTCTACAGCCTACTTTGGTGAGTAGCATCTGAGGTCTTAAAAGCTTGTGAGCGGCCATCTAAGATACTCCACTGTCTGGAGGAAGGGGACCCCGTCTGGAGCAAGGGAGAATGAAGAAAACCAAAGACACCAGGGAAAGATTAGTCCAAAGGACTAGTGGACCACAACTACACAGTCTCCACCAGACTGAGTCCAGCACAACTAGATGGTCTCTGGCTACTACCACTGAGTGCTCTGACAGGGATCACAATAGAGGGTCCTGGACAGAGCTGGAGGGAAATGTAGAACAAAATTCAAACTCACAAAAAAAGACCAGACTTACTAGTCTGACAGAGACTGGAGAAACCCTGAGAGTATGGTTCCTGGATATCCTTTTAATTCAGTACTGAAGTCATTCCTGAGGTTCAGCCTTCAGCCAAAGATTAGACAGGCCTATAAAACAAATAGTAACACATGTAGTTCAAGCATGTATATGAGACTAAATGGGCACACCAGCCCAGGGGCAAGGACAAGAAGGCAGGAGGGGACAGGAAAGCTGGACGAATGGAAATGGGGAACCCAAGGTTGAGAAAGGGAGAGTGTTGACATGTCATGGGGTTGGCAACCAATATCATAAAACAATAGGTGCATTAATTGTTTAATGAGAAACTAATTTGCTATGTAAACTTTCACCTAAAGCGCAATTAAAAAAAAAAAAAGAAACGAAAACCTTTTCTATAAAGTTCCGTAGAAGTTCTCTTCTGATTGCTTCAATTTTCTCAGTGAATATTTTGCACAACAGAATATTTTAGGCTTTGCAGGCCATAGGGTCTCTGTTACAGCTACTCAATTCTGCCTCTGTAGCATGAAAGCAGCGGTAGACAATACATAAGCAATGAAATTATTGGTGGACATTGAAATTTGAATTTAATATAAATTTTATGTGTCACAAATAGTATTCTTCTTTTGATTTTTTCCAACCATTCGAAAAACAGAAAAACATTGTTAACTTGCGGGTTGTACAAAAACAGATGGAAGCTGGATTTAGTCCACAGACTGCAGCTTGCTGATCCCAGCCTTAATTTGGTGGCTTTCTGAGATATAAATGATCCATTCTTGGAGTACAAAGAGACTGGTCAGTTCATCTGTGCTGATGATTGTTATGGATTAAATTGTGTCCCCCCAGAATATGTGTTAGAATCCTAACCCCTGTATCTGTGAATGTAATTCTGTTTGGAAATTGAGTTTTCTTTGCTATGTTAATTAGATCATATCCCAGTAGAGTGGGGTCTAAATCTAATCACTTCTGAGTTATTAAAAAAAAAAAAAAAAAAAGCAAATTAGACACAGAGATGCTCTCGCACACAGGAAGACAAGGAAAGAATTGACACAGGCAAGACCCTCATGTGGGCTTTTAGCCTCGAGAATGGTGAAAAAGAAATAGCTGTTCTTTAAAGGCATACACTTGTGGTATTTCTGTTCCAGCAGCACTAGGAAACTAAGACAATGGTTTTCAAATCCAGCACAACTTTCTAATATATTCTTTTAATTCAGATTTTGATTAGTTTACTAAACGGATTCCTTATTACCCCTTTATTTAGCCATGAAGAAATTTGCTATAGTTAAGAGCAGAATAATGTTTTTGCTTTTAAAATTACTATTATTAACATTTTTTGCATGTTTCCTTCTAATCCTAATCTCCCTGCCCCTGCATACATTTCACACAGCAGAAGCATTTTTGTAATAGCCAGGACTTTGTCAGGGGAAAGATTTGACTTGAAATCCTTATTCTGCCAAGTACTTACTTTGGCAAAGCACTTGACCCCAGTGAAGCCTCTGATTTCTCAACGGTAAAATGGTTACACTACAGTGCTGCTCTGTGAGATTAATAAGAAAATATATGTAGCACATTTAGAAAAGCATCTGGCGCTTATCTTGCATGTAGGTGAAAAAACCAGGAATATCCAGCCTTTATAGATTTCTAGTTTGTTTTTCTCATTTAACATTATATCATGAGGTTTTTTTTTTTTTTTTAATGTCATTGAGTCAGAATCAACTCGACGGCAATGGGTTTGGTTTTCTTATTCTTTTTCAAAAATGTGATTTCGTGGTTACATAAGATTCCATTTAATGGGTGTACCAAAATTAATATACTACCCCACTCCCATGGGCATGAGATATTCTGGACTTGAGGTTTCTGTTTACCATGCTGCATAGAATATCTTTGTAACTAGTTCACCATATCCCTGATCATTTAAGATTTTCTAAAAGTGGAATTTTCAGATCAAAAATCTGAACAGATGACTTAATAAGGTTGAATATTTCTCCTGTGCTTTTGGCTATTTGTATTTCTTCTTTTGAGAATTGCCTTATGTCGTTCCTGGTAAAAGAAAAATCAATTTCCTCTCTTTTCTTAAGTAGTCAAATAACATAGTCAAAACCTACGACATTTCTTGAGTGTCTTCTGGATCACAGTGAGTGCTGGGCTTCATGTATGTCTAACAGAGTGGTTTCCAGCATGGCTTCTGGAGTCAGGCCACCGGGTCTATGCCCATTTACCAGCAGGGCCAATGCACTCAAGCTTCTTAACCTCTCCAAGCCCCAGTGTCCACATCTGTACCTCCCAAGGCTGCTTCAAGGTGCAAATAGAATCATATATATCAAGCCCTTGGTGTGATGTTCAGCTCATGCTAAGTGTTCAATAAACACGAGCTATCTTTATTATCCACCAGTCATCTGTCAATTTGTCATACTGTAGTGACTTGCATGTTGCTATGATGTTGGAAGCTACGCCACCAGTATTTGAAATACCAGCAGGGTCACCCATGATGGTCAAGTATCAGCAGAGTTTCCAGACCAAGACAGAGTAAGAAGAAAGGCCTGGCAATCTACCTCCAAAAATTAGCCCATGGAAACCCTATGGATCACAATCGAATACTGTCCCATACAGTGCTGGAACATGAGCCCCCTAGGTTGGAAGACACTACACAGCAGCCGCAACAATGGACTCACATACCAACTCCGATCATGAAGATGGTGCAGGACCAGGCAACGTTTCATTCTGTTATACATAAGGTCGCCGTGAGTCACAGCCAACTTGAGGGCAACTAACAATAACAACAACATCTTTATTATTATCATCCCTACCTCACGGTGCGTAGGCAGATGTAGGTATATGTTTGCATTAAAATAGACAGCTGGGTTTCTAGGAAATGAAACTCTGAGCAGTCGTTTCCTTTGTAACCTAGAACCCCCACGGTTAGCTCTTCACTATACCTCAGGGGTATAACACAAAACGAACCCCAGAACCAACGGTCAGACCTAAAGTCGGAGTGGGTTCCTGGTTACTACTCTCCATCGTCGAGTCCCTGGGTGGCACAAACGACTACTAGCAGAAAGGTTGATGGTTCAAACCCACCCAGCGGTGCCGCAGAAGAAAATCCTGGTGATCTACTTCAGAAAGGTCACGGCCTCGAAAACTCTATGGAGCAGTTCCACTCTGCACACATGGGGTTGCCAAAAGAGTTGGAGATGATTCGACGGCACTTTCCATTGTGTGTTTAATTTGGGTGACAAAATAATTTCAGAAAAGAGCCACTGATGCCTTTTTCGGATTAGTTTTCATTACACCTAATAACTAACTCATATGGGCATCACGGAGCCCTGGTGGCACAGTGGTTAAGAGCTCAGGCGGCTAACCAAAAGGTCGGCAGTTCAAATCTACCAGCTGCTCCTTGGAAACCCTATGGGGGCAGTTCTACTCTGTCCTATAGGGTCACTATGAGTCGGAATCGACTTGACGGCAGTGGGTTTGGTTTTTTTTGGTTTATTGGCATCACATTTGACAGCTTACCAAGGACATGAACAAATATCATGTTATTTGAGCCTCACGGTGGCCCTGGATGGTAGTTGGGGAGATATCTTAATGCTCATTTTACAGTTACGGAAACCCCAATGATTTGTGTGGCTTTAAAGCCAGAAATACAGGATGAGAAAATGAGATCCACAGAGGTTATTTCCCCAACACAAACATCTGTTTCTCGCCACTACTGCCCATTTTACCTCTTTTAGGCAGTTGGACCGAGCAAGCGTTGATTAATCTGGAATTACACAATAGTCCCATGATTCATCTTGATTATGAAATGTCAGAAAGCTGTTTCCCCAGTAAATAAACTACAGATTCTTAAGCATCACACTTGGTGGCTGGTTTCGGTTCTTCCCGGAGAGATTACAGGTAACGATTTTGGGGGGTCTCTTAGCTGTCCTTACCATTTTTAGGCTTCCTCCCAAATGGAATGTTGAGGTCTTCTGGTGGAAAAGAGCAGAGCATGAGAGAGAACAAGGTCAGCCGAAGATGAGCCCACCAGCATCAACTAAGATAAAGAGAAAACACCAAACTTTACGTTTCAAAGAAGGCAAAATGCTGTAGCTTAAAAATGTGTTTGCAAATGTGCTCTTGAAAACACCTATTAATAGTATTTACTTCCTCAAAGTTATATAGACTAAAGACATACTCTGCAAAACCACTTCTAATGTTATTAAAGGTCTTGCTTTAGCTTCGAAGAACCAACATTTTAGACTACCAAAATTTGTCTTTATAATCTAAAAAAAAAACGGATCTATGGTTTGGGTTCCCTCTCCTCCCCTCCTCACTCTACACTCCCATATAACAGCTTACACATCTAGTGTCCTTAAAATATGTGAATTTGTCCCGATGTTTAAAGTACCTTTCTAGGTTGCATTGAGTGATTCTGTGTCTGGAGTCTTCTGAAATGAGGAGATGGACGGCAGGCAGCTTTGAGACACAGAGACTCCAGGCTGCCAGCGCTGGAGTTTCCAAGTGCAAAGACCAGGCTGGGGGGCGGTGCAGGGGAGCAGCGAGGAGGAGCGTGAAGCCACCCCAGACATGAGATTTGCAGAAACATCAGGTTCCTCTTACTTCTCCTACCATAATTGGGGCAACGTTTTGTCTAAACCCAAACAACTTGGTAGACCAATCTTCCTTTTCTTCTAGACCAGGGTTTCTCAATCTCAGCACTATTGACATTTTTGGCCAGATGATTCTTTGTTGCATTGTAGAACGTTTAGCAGCATCCCTGCCCTCTATGCACTAAATGTCAGTAGTACTGCTTCCGTCCAGTTGTGACAACCACAGATGTGTCTAGACATTGCAAAATATCCCTCCCCCCCGGGGGCGGGGAGCAAAATTGCCCCCATTGAGTGACATTGCTTTATAGATATTTTAGAGACGATGTCTAAATTTACCTTGTTCTGTCTCAGGCCCAGCTGGCGGGGACCCTTTTGTTTGTAAGAGGTGGTGAAATGACTGTTTGGTTCACTCACTTGAGTTAAAGAAAGTCAGCTGCTCTTACAGTGTAATGTCATATAAAGCCTTGCTTCTCAAAGTGTGGCCCCCCCCAAGATAATTGTTCCCTTCTTAACTGATTATCAGTCGTGGTTCAACGGTAGAAGCCTTGTCTTCTATGTGGGAATTCAATTCTCGGCCAATGTACCTCATGCCCAGCCACCACCTGTCTGTCAGTGGAGGCTTGCATGTTGCTATGATGCTGAACAGGTTTCAGCAGACCTTCCAGACTATGATGGACTAGGAAGAAAGGTCTGGTGATCTACTTCCAAAACTCAGCCAATGAAAACCCTGTGGACCACAGCGGTCTGATCTGCAACCAATCATGGAACTGGCACAGGATCGGGCAGCATTTCGTTTTGTTGTGTATGGGGTCGCCAAGAGTCAGGGGCCACCTCAAAAAAAGCTAATAACAATTGTAGGTAGAGTCAAAATATTAGTAGCTATGCTTAAAGTTCTTTAATCCACCTAGTCCACCTGGAGGGAATTTGGAAAATGCAGTTTGGTGTGGGGAAATCAGTTGATCATGACCAGGGTTAACATACTGGATTGAAAAGTAAATGGTGCCCCATATGAACTAGAAAGCTATTCAATACGATAATAATAGCTGACATTTACTGAGTATCAGTTATGAGTCAGGCACTGCTTTAACTGCTTTATATGTATTATCTCATTAAGTACTAAAAAACAACAAAGACAAAAACAGATGAAGTAGATACTCTTTTTACTTTTTTTTTTTTTTTAAAACAAATAATAGAATTGATGCAGAAAGGCTAACTGTCTTGCCCCAGGTCACATAGAAAGTCCTCACACAAGCAGTACAAGAATCAAACGCCTCCTCATCAAACCACTCTGCCATGCAAATGATATGTAGAAATCAATAGCTTTCGCACATAGAGACAATCAATGATTCACATTGGTAATGGAAGGAGACATCTCATTCCAAACAGTTACAAATATATGATATACTTGGGAAGAAACCTGACAAGAAACGCATAAGCTCTCAGGTGGTGATGAGAGGATCAGGGACTATGCTACTCCGTCTGGAGGGCTGGATTGTTCCACCTGCCCCTCCAGGTCTACTCTCCACCCCTTTCCACCCTGCTCTGTGCCCCAGAAGGCTGAGCTGAATGAACTCCATCAACAGACACTTGCTTGCTGGTTTCTGGTTGGCATTGGCCAATGGGAGGCCCGGGTTGGAAATGGGAGCCCAGGAGGAGAGAGAGGTAGGGGTATTTATCCCTCTGGCTTCGTCCCTGCCGAGCAGCTGTGGGTTGGCTGCATCCGGCTAACGAAGCTCTTGCCAAGCAGTGGTCTCTTCACAGCCACTCCAGTAATGGCTCTCCTCCCTCGCCCTTGCAGGGCTGGGTGTGAAAGACTTCCCTGAGGTGCTGCCCCGTCCTTGTTGATTACCCTCCAACCTGCCCAAATTGTTATAAATAGTCACCGTAAACTCATCGATTTCTCACTTTGAGCGTGCCATCTGTTTCCTGCCAGGACCCTGGGGGACGAAAAGAAGATGTGAATAAATGAAGAACAATGCATTGTTATTGGAGCTAGAGGCCATAACGCTGTAAAAATATGGACATTTTGCATAAATTGATTTGCAAATGCCATGCAATCCCAATCAAATACCAATAGGATTTCATGAGCAACTTCCCAGATTGACTCTAAACCGGGAGGGCTTTTTGGAAATTGGTTAGGCATTTCTGTCTATCACAAAGATTGGAGCTATGTAATTCATGGATTTCATGTCCTTTCATATAGCAAGGGGTACATTCTCAAAAACAAAAACAAAAACAAAAACCAAACCTGTGCCGTCAAGTTGATTCTGACTCATAGAGACCCTACAGGGCAGAGTAGAACTGCTCCGTAGGGTTTCCAAGGCTGGAATCTTTAACTGATATCTGTCTATAACTAATATCCCATATGTGCTGTTACTTAATTCAGACCTCTCCTCCGCTTCATTGATGTGCTAGTACCACACCATTTTGGTCAATGCAGCATTATACTGTGCTAATACATATTTGGAATATATATCTGGAAGTGAAATCCTCCCCTTGTTACTTTTTCATTCAAACATTACCTGGCTGTTCTCACATGTGGTTTCTTAGCCCAGTCAGACCCAATGTCACCTTTGTATAACAAATACAGTGTCTGTCTTGGAAGAAGTACAGCTGAAATGCTCCTCAGAAGCAAGGATGGCGAGACTTCGTCTCACGTACTTTGGACATGTTATCAGGAGAGACCAGTCCCCGGAGAAGGACATCATGCTGGATAAAGTAGAGGGTCAGTGAAAAAGAGGAAGACCTCCAACAAGGTGGATTGACGCAGTGGCTGCAACAATGGGCTTAAGCATAGCAACGACTGTGAGGATGGCTCAGGACCGGGCAGTGTTTCGTTCTGTGGTACACAGGGTCACTATGAGTCGGAATCAACTCGACGGCACCTAACAACAACAATCTTTAGGGAAGCAGACGGCCGCATCTTCCTCCCACAGAGTTGCTGGCGGGTTTGAACCTCTGACCTTTATGATTAGCAGCCGAGCGCTTAGCCACTGTATTTGTTATACAAAGGTGACATTGGGTCTGACTGGGCTAAGAAACCACATGTGAGAACAGCCAGGTCATGTCTGAATGAAAAAGTACCAAGGGGAGGACTTCTCTTCCAGATATATTAGCACAGCATAATGCTGCACTGACGAAATTGGTGTGGTACTAGCACATCAATGAAGCAGAGGAGAGGTCTGAATTAAGTAACAGCACATACGGGATATTTGTTTAAAGCCACATGGATGACAAAAAACCAAAACCAAACCAGCTCCAACCAGTTCCCCAATTCCAACTCATGGAAACCCGTGTGTTTCAGAGTAGAACTGCACTCCATAGGGTTTGCAATGGCTCTGATCTTTCGGAAGTGGATTGTCCAGCCTTTCTTCTGAGGCACCTCTGAGTGGATTCGAACTGGCAACCTTTCAGTCAGTAGCAGACTTCTTAATCATTTGTACCACCCAGGGACTTCTCAGTGACAAAAGTGGTTACTAAAATAATATTGGGCAACTGGCTTGGCGTTTAGAAAAAAAATAAAGCTAGATTCCTACCTCATTTCTTACATCAAAATTAATTTCCTGTGGTTCCAAAATTTCAATGTGAAACATTGAACATTAAAAGTACTAGAAGAAACCATAGATACATACTTTGATAATCTTCAAGTGGGAAAGTCTAAGTATGACAACCACACAACCAACTAACCAACCAAACAAAAAAGCCACCACCAACAACCCAGAGTCTTAAAGAAAACATTGAAAAATTTGAAGACCTAAAAATAAATCTGCTTACTCCTCTATAAAGTGAAGGGTGAGGTTGGGTGATGGGTCAAGACATCCAAGTTTCATGTGGTAAGACCCTGAAAGAGTATGATATTAGGCATTTTAGCATCTTGCTTATGCTTTCTTGTGTTGTTATTTATCTCTTGATTCCCAGCTCAAAACATTGTCTGGTCCTTCAGCATCTTTATGATTCTTGGTATGTTTGAGTCCATTGTTGTGGCTATTCTGTCAATCCATTTCATTGAGGGTTTGCTCATTTGCCTTCTACTTTACAAAACATGATGTCTTTTTCTACTGATTGGTCTTTCTTGATGACGTGTCTGAAGTAAGAGCCAAAGTCTCACCATCCTCACTTCCAAGGAGCATTCTGATTGAATTTCTTCCAAGACTGATTGTCCTGTCCATTGTTGTAGCTGTTGTGTGCTGCTGAGTCAGTTCCAACTGATAGCGACCCTACAGGACAGAGGAGAACTGCTCCATAGGGTTTCCAAGGAGCCGCCGGTGGATTCCAACTGCCAGCCAGCAGCTGAGCTCTTAACCACTGTGCCACCAAGGGCTCCAGTCCTGTCCGTAGTAGGTGCTTAACAAATAGTGAACTAAACTGATCTGAGTGGCAATGCAGAAGATGGCCTACAAATTGGAACATGCTTATACTAAAAAGAATTGTTGTGTATCTGAAATTCAAATTTAACTGGGCGTCCTGTGTTTTACCTGGCAACCCTCTTTAAAGTGTCATATTTTAATCTAGAGATTTAAACACTAAAGGACTCCTGGGATTAAGTCTCTGAATTTCAAGGGCAGGTAGACTTGAGACGGCCACCCAGAGGGGTGGCTATGGAAAGTGCATTGTCACACCCTACCGGACCAGTGACAGGAGAGGCTCGGAGGGGCACAGGCTGGATTCCGAAAAAAGAGGCAGTAAAAGCCATGTTGATCAAACAAGGCTTTATTAGGGGAAAAACCAAAAAAAAAAGAAGAAAAAAAGAAAACCAAACCCATTGCCATGGAGTCAATTCTGACTCATAGCGACCCTACAGGGCAGAGTAGAACTGCCCCATAGGGTTTCCAAGGAGCGCCTGGTGGATTTGAACTGCTGACCTTTTGGTTAGCAGCTGAACTCTTAACCACTGCGC